TGCATAAATGAGACAGTTATACAGCTTGGTCTGTTTAAAGGGCCCCTGGCAGTGGGATCAGGATCTATCCCTGGTGCGTGAGCTGGCTTTTAGGAGCCCATTACCTATGGCGGGACACCATGCACCGCCTTGATGCAGGAGGAGGCACTTGGACCTACCTCACCTGAATGTACCAGGTTTGCTGACTCCCCATAAAGGGCCTTACATTATCAGAGGAGGGGATGGGGGCTAGATTGGGGGTGGGGAAGCTATGGGGGAAGTGGGCAGAGTAATGAGAGGGGCATCATGATTGGTATGAAAATGAACAAAAATTTCTTAAGAAAGGAAGAAATAAAAAGAAAGAAAATATTTCTATAATTTCTTGCTGCAAACATAAATCATTTGAAAAGAATTAAGATGACCCAACAAATACATTTTAACTTTTTCCCAATCATATTTTCTGTCATTGAAACTTTAAGGCATAATAAAATAAGAAGTAACATTATAATTACATTTCAATTACATTTGTTCTGTCAATAATTCTAAATGATCTCTAATGACTGTTTCAGCTTATATCAATTCAGGTATCTCACCAACTATTCCCATATCTATCTTATTTTGTTGAGTTCAAAATTCAGGAGGATGTATATACCAGTCTTTAACAAATTCAGCAGGTTGGATTTCTTTATGAAGAATAGCTCCAGCTATGATAGTAGCAGTAGTTAATACAATGATTCTCAGGACTACAGCAATTATCAATCTCACCATCCATTGAATTTTTCTTGATATCCTTTAAGTGGCTTATGTACTAATATCATCAACACTGAGTCTTGCCATGGTCTCGCAAATTCACAGGTATCCTGACTACTGGTCTTGCTCTGAGAATATGTTGTCTTTCAAAAGTAACATCTAAATGCATACTAGCATTGACACAGACATGAAGAGTACAGCCTATACAAGAGAGGCTATAAATATTAGGGTGCCATTACACAGGCCTTTCAGTAACAAATAAGGTCACAATCCACAAGCCATAAAGGCAAAACCTTGATCTAAACTAAAGGACAAATGAAACTTGTCATTATTAAAATGTGAATTTCTGCTCCACAGTTTAAGTGGATGAAAATCACTTGCCAATTTCCACAAATTAGTCTGAATAGAATTCCCAAATTGTAATAGAGGGCTTGATATTCCAATTTCATGCCACTCAAAGGATTCTCTAAAAGAAGAGACAGCTTCTATAGTTTTATTTGAATTGGACCATTGTCACATCCATTCTGAATGAGAATATAATACTTAAGGGCAATAATGGCTCCAACCAATTACTTATCCTGGAGAGAAATTAACAAGCACCCAATGATTATCATCTATATATTGGTGCCTATATATCCAATCAAATTTCTTGTTAGTAATCCACAATTTGCAAGATAGTAAATTTGTGGAACTAGTAGCATTAATCTTTTGTCCCTCAAATCCAAGTGCACTAAGCATAAGAAGTTTTCTGTAAGAATTCTGGGTAGTACTATCATCAATTATAGATAACCAAATATGAGAAATTATATTACAACAATGAATTCTATTACCATACAAATAGGAATTCCTTTTATTTCCACAGTATAATTTATAATTTCCTTACCCTCTTCCGCAAGTTGAGTAGGGTCACAATAGTTACAAGGACCAGGCAGAGAAAAAGATTTATTGGCCACCATAGGAATATATATGTCTCCCTAGTTTATTCCTATATTAATTGGAAAATTAGGAATATAAGCAAAATAAGTATGATTTGTCCCTGTTACCTGTACAAAACGCCCCCCTCTTCAAAATTCAGTGCAAGTGGAGGCAGAAAGATTATAAGAGCCAGTGAAAATGGAAGACGTCAAGAAAACAAGGCCTTCTAGACATGACAGAGCTGATATACATATGTACTCATAGAAACTGTGGCAGCATGCACAGGCCCTTCAAACATCTGAGCTGGATAAAGTCCCAGATCTGAGAGGGTAAATGGACACAAGCCTTCATTCTTAAATGAGAAGCCATCTCCAACTGGCAACTGTTCACAAAGGAAAAATTAAATTTCTTTAAAAGAGTTTCTATTGGTATGCAAACCACAATTAAGAGCCTTCCCCATGCCTAACAAAGGATGACCAATACAAAATAAATTCAACTATGTTTTTAAATGTATTTTGTCTCATGATGTTTTGTTTGGGCACTTTTTTTTTAACCATACAGATATTTTGCTTATGTATTATGGTTTCTGATTTTCTGTGTAAATGAATATGTAGTCTTTGTGTCTGTATGTGTTTCTTGTGCTTTTTTTTAGCCCATTTTTAAAAAATATTTCTTTTGTCCTATTCTGTTTTTGTTGTGGTTGTAGTGAAAGAATTTGGATTTGGGTGAGTGGGAGGTAGGGCAGTATGTTGTAGGAATTTGGAATGAAGAAAAATTGATAAGGATGTATTTTATGAAAAAATACTTGTAATATAAAGAAAATATGCATTTGAGCCACAGGAAGAAAGTAATATGTGTACTTAGAGTTTGGTGGACTGCATACTTTTAAAGTATGTCCTTATGATTGGAGACAACATGTGTGGAATCATATGTTAATTTATTTTACACCACAAATAATATTTTGCATGATGCATTGCAGTCTTTAAAAATCATGTTTGGGAATGGAGAAATGGTAAATCATGATCAGAATATACTGTATAAAAATTATTTTCAACAAATTATTTATGTCAATATACAAAAACATGTAGGTAAGACATAATTATCTAGGGTATTATAGCTTAAAGCAGTTCACACATTGACTTACATGAGGTATAGTATGAAAGATATGATCCAATCCTATAAAAAAGGGAAATATTTTATATTGATTGGAAGTTTTAAGTATGCAACCACATACAATGTTTTGTGACCTGGGCTGTGAAGAAGATAGATAGTTTTATATTGGTCTTAATTAAAATATAAGCTCTTTTTCAATTCAGATTTTATCTATAATGTTACAGATACTGTTAACCCATGTGGCCAACACAAACAGGTACTAAAAGTTCCCTAAATTTTAAAACAAAAAACATACATGAAAGAAAGATAAAACCACAAGTTAACTGAATGAGAAAAGAAGAAAGAGCCCCTAAAACCTGAAGTAGTGTATGATAGATTCAGGGCCAGAAATGACAAAAAAAAAAAAAATACATGCATAAACTACAAATGCTTTTAAATTACTCTTTCTAATAACAAAATTAAACTAATCATAAGATAAAAAAGATTCCAGAAAGCACAGATACTAGAAGAAAAATAAATCATAAACTCCTATAGGATTTATAGGTATTGTAGCCAGCATGTGGAATAGCTTAGGGAAATAGGGGGATTGCAAACATAATAGAAGATTTTAAATAACAAAAATGTTAATTCTATCTCGGCCAAATTTGATGTTAATCATGAAAATTTAAATTCAGTGTTACATATTTGCCTTAGTGTGTCATCTTTTTTAAATGTGAAAATGGAGAATTGATAGGTTGAAAGCCTAGTGTAGGATAGCACATATAGTTGCATCCCCAGAAGTCCCAGACCAGCCAGCTTGTGCAATAGGTGAGTACCAAGTTCTGTAAGAAAACTTGCCTCAAAAACTATTGTGGAGAACAATATAGGAGGACACTTGACATTAACCTCTGGCCTTACCCTTTCATGAACCTTTAAGCATACATACAACCAAACAAACACAAACACATACATATAACATGCACTCTTAGATAGGACACACTCATACACACACATATTCACATGGAAAAATGTAATAAAATGAATGTTGGTCATTTAATTAATGAATTTATTTTTTAAAAATTTACATGCATGTATTTCTAGTATAAAAGAATATTAGCCTTAGGTATTGCAACTAATTAAGTCTAAGAATTTGATGAGTTTCAAAAGTTTAATAGTTATACATAAAAGCAAAAGTACTGCATGCAGATTTTGGACTTGATAGATTTACAGTTTATTGTGTCTAAAGAAACATAAAATGGCAGTAATAATTTGTCCTAATCACCAAGAAGACGGTCACCTCAGTTTGATGTGACAAACATGTGTTCATGTAATAAACTTTCAAGTGAATGAATAATTCTACAAAAGAGTTCAGAGAAAATTTTGTTTCTATGTGACATACACTCAATTATTGACAGAGAAGAAAATGCTTCTGAGTGTCAATAACTTATTTTCTCTTCTTTCTGAACTTTAAATATTTTTCAATAGTAACATTATGATTTATAGCACAATATAATTTTTTTTAAATTGATAAAATCCTATTTATTTATTACATAAAACATGATTTAAGACATATGTACATTCTGAAATGACTTATACTAGTTAATTAAAATATATAATGTAACCTTACATGCTTATTTTCCTTTTTTATATTTTATTTTATTTTTCTAATTTTCTTATGATTTAATACTACTTTAGACTTTTATGTAAAACTCAAATTTGGAAACAATTGAGTGTATTCTTTTTTAAAATAATTACATGCTTGTGAATTGAATTGTCTGAATGGAATATATAAAACACTAGTTAATATTCTTCAAGAAATGATATTGAGCACTTAAAATGTATCAAAAATAGAATTTCTTACTAATTAGATCCTTAAGTACATTACTTCCATCATCTTTTCTCAAGAATCTGGAATTACTGCTTATCTTGTCCTGCTAAAGAAACTGAATACTAAATTTAGTTCTTTGTCAATAATTTACAAATAACAGTTTGAATATTATACAATGAGTGATTTCTGAAAGTATAGTCATTGCACAAATTATCTTTCCATTATGTTTATCTGAATGTTCTATACATATGAAATTTTAGATGATGCATTTGTAAGAATTTCAAACAAAATTTTTATGTTGCAAATTACCATATTTTAAAAATAAAAAATGAAACATGTGTTTAATATTTGCTCCATGAAATTCAACCAGGGAAACTGAAAATCTAAAACCACATTCCTGGAATGTTCCAATGAACATGAACAATGTTCCAATGTTCCAATGTTCAATATGTATGAGAAAAGACCCAGAGAAACAGAAAAAGTAGAATTAATTGTAATTGTTTTTAAACACTCACCAAAGACACATACCATTGGAAACAGTGTGACTGACTTCTTACCCCTACTCATCTTAATTTCCTGGATCCTTGTCTCTTCTTCACTAATCTAACAACAGCACCTTTCACTTCTTTGTTTCTGAGACTATAAATGAGTGGGTTCAGCATGGGGATCAAAATGGTGTAAAAAACAGAAGCTACTTGATCCTTTCCCAGTGAGTAGGATTTACTTGGCTTCAAATATGTAAAGATCATAGTGCTGTAAAAGACAGTGACTCCAAGGAGGTGAGAGGCACACGTGGAGAAGGCTTTTTGCTTTCCTGAAGTGGAATTTATCTTCAGAATAGTAGAAAGAATGGACACATAGGATACGGATATTGTGGTAAGGGAAACCAGAATGGTGGAACCAGCAAAAACGAATATAATTATTTCAACTTCATTTGTGCTACTGCAAGACAGAGATAAAAGTGGAGCTGTGTCACAATAAAAGTGACGGATGACATTGGACTTGCAGAAGTGTAGTGTAATCATGCTAAGCACGGTGACAGAGGAATCCACAGCTCCAATCACATAGGACCCAGTGAGGAGGGCAAGGCAGCGTCGTGAAGACATAATAACCGGGTAATGTAAAGGTTTGCAGATAGCTATATAGCGGTCATAGGCCATTGAGCAAAGCAGAAAACACTCAGTAGCTGCCAAGAGGATGAAAATGTACAGCTGGGTGAAACAACCTATGAAGGAAATGCTCTTGTTTGAAGTAAGCAGGGTTTCTAAGGTTTTAGGTGTGATGGTAGTTGAATAACTGAGGTCAAGAAATGACAGGTGGGTGAGGAAGAAATACATGGGAGTGTGAAGCTGGACATCTAGCCAAATAATCAGCATCATGCCTGTGTTCCCCAGCACAGTGACCAGATATATCAGTAGAAACAGCACAGAGAGGACCAGCTGGATCTCCTTGGAATCTGTCAGCCCCATGAGGATGAAGTCAGGTTTATTTGTGTGGTTCCAGGTGTTCATACTGAATGATCCTAAATGATGAGAAATCAAAAGAAATGCACTGGTTTTATGATGGAAAAAAGGTTCCTGTGGTTTTTTGTCACTGTACTTTTACACAGTATAGAACTGTCAATAGATTTCCAAATAGAACTACCAAGTGTCATTATATGTGCTATAATTCTGTGAAAATTGTTGTTAGTCTAAATAATTTTATTTTATAAATTTAATCTATGTGAAATGTTGTCATGTACATGCTAATATTATACCCTGAATTTATACAAGTTATAAGTTGCAGAAAATTCAATTAATTAATGTGAACCTAGCTCAAATTCATGTAGAGCCTAGGACCATGGTAAAAATGTAAGACACCAAAGGATCTTAGTCACACTCTTATTCCAGTAGGTCTAAATGAAATATCACATGTAATGAACAAAGATGAAAAACAACTTTGATGCATCATTCTGCTTTTTTTTCAATATCAATTAACTTTAATTAGTTTTTACTAAATTTTAATAGGCTACATTAAGACAAATAATTATTAATAAAAATGGGGTACTTTTTTTCTGACAATTCAAAACATTTTTAAGTAATTTCTCTTATTGAAACATGAATCAGTACTGGTCTAGTCTCCTTCCATCAATTGTGATTGCCAGAATCCTGACTTTACTTTTCTAAGTACCAAATGATTTGCACACTTACATTTTTAAATATAGTCATTTTTTAATTGCTTCAAACAGTCACAATTTTAAAAATACTTACTCCGAGTACCAAAATTGGTAGAAAATACGAAGGCAAAATACTTCCAAAATCATTTGACTGAGAATGTTTAACTCCCAAATTTTCTCACAAATGAAAGAGAGAATCTATTTATAGATTTGAACATGTCAGGCCTAGAGCTTTTATTTTCCTTTTGATTAATTTTTCCATATTTTTGTAAACTCATTAAAAAAAACTACAGAAGTAAATTAGGCTATTCTGAATACTTTCCTCCGGTCTTTGTCAAAACCAGTTATGATGGAAGTTATGGCACAAATTTAATCCATGAGCAAGTGTGAATATGAGCGGAGCAGTCTATGCCGTTTGTCTCTATTTAATGACACCTGGACAAATCGTGTAAAGTCATGAGCATCACGTAACATGGTCATTCTCAGGGGGAAATTTCTAAGACAGGTTTCTTGGCAAGCTTTCAAGAATTGAAGCCAAAGGACTAATTTAGCAAAGTTTTGCTTTTCCCTGGGAGCCCTATAAAGAAGAGTATGATAAATATGTTATTTTTCTAATGCACTACATTTATTCATATAATCACTAATTCATTAAATTTTATAAAGTATGATATTTAAATAGCACTCTATTCACAGCAACACATTATTAAGTAGTGTGGCTAGAGGGAATTGTTTTTAATTAGAAGTCCTTACTTTGTCAATGAGACTATGATTGTAGAATAGTAATGTTTTGGGAAATAAAAACATTAAATTGAAGATATGATTCTGTTGGAGTTAAAAATGATAAGTAAAATCAATAGAATATGTATTACTATATTCACCAATAAGTGTGGTTCTCAAATCTAACAAAAGAACTTCTCTTTGCAGCAGAAAGATACCATTACAGAAAACTATAACTAATCAAATTGCATAGTTGGAGAGACCAGTCCCAACTGATGCATTTACAAAAAGCCTCCTGCACCTAAGACTCAAGGATCATTTCAGAAGAGAGTGAAGAAATGTTGGAAGAGCCAGAGGAACAGAGGATTGACTCTGTGATGGTGTCACCTTAGATGTCAGGAGCTACACTCATAAAGTTTCACAAAAGTGGCAGCTTAATCATGAACTAAACAATATGATAACAATAAACATCCAATATTGGACAGGGGCAGTTTTACCACTCCTTAGCATTCATACCCTAATGACTTGACAAGATACCACACAGACACTTGCTTATCAATGTTCATTATACCTCTATTGGCAACACCTATGAAATAAAAAAAAAATAAACAAAAACTAAATGTTCTTCAACTGACAGTGCATAATAAAAATATGTGATACATATTCACAGTGGGATAAAATTCAGTAATGAGAAAATGAAATCACATGTCCCTCTTCTCTGGAGCTGTGGGTTGTAGTCTGGTTATCCTTTGCTTTACATCTAGTATCCACTTATGAGTAAGTACATCATGTGTGGCTTTCTGAGTCTGGGTTAGGTATTTGCCTGCAAATTTCACAATGTTGTTTTTCACTGCTGAGTAGTGCTCCATTTGTATATGTTTCACATTTTCTTTATCCATTCTTTGGTTGAGGGGCATCTAGGCTGTTTCCAGGTTCTGGCTATTATGATTAATGTTGCTATGAACATAGTTGAGTAAATGTCCTTGTGGTATGATTGAGCATCACTTGGCTATATGCCCAAGAGTGGTATCATTGAGTCTTAAGGTAGATCTATTTCCAATTTTCTGAGAAACCTCCATACAGATTTTCAATGTGGCTATTCAAGATTGCACTCCCAGCAGCAGTGGAGAAGGCTTCCCCTTGCTCCACATCCTCTCCAATATAAGCTATCATCAGGGTTTTTGATCATATGTATTCTGAGAGGTGTAAAATTGTATCTCAGAGTCATTTTGATTTGCATTTCCCTGATCACTAAGGATGTTGATCAATTCCTTAAATGTCTTTTGGCTATTTAGGATTCTTCTGTTGAGAATTCTCTGCTAAGCTCTGTAGTTCATTTTTTATTGGATTGTTTGGTGTTTTGATGTCTAGACATCTTGAGTTCTTTATATAATTTGGATATCAGAATTGTGTTAGATGTAGGCAGTGGGATCAGAATCTGTTCCTGGTGCATGCATGAGCCGGGATTTTGGAGCCCATTACCTAAGGTGAGACATCTTCCACAGCCTTGATGCAGGTGGGGAGGGGCTTTGATCTGCCGCAACTGAATGTACCTGGTTTTTCTGACTCCCCATGGGAGGCCTTACCTTTTCAGAAGAGGGGTGGGTTGTGGGAAAAGGTTGAGGGGGAGCAGGAGGAGGGATAAGAGGGGGATCTGTGGTTGGTATGTAAAATAAATAAAAAGCATTTTTTTAAGATTAAAATAAGTCAATTAGTTAATAAAAAGAAAAAAAACAAAAAAGAAGAGAAAATCACAAACTTTGTAGGAAAATGGATGTAACTAGAAAAGATCATGTTGAGTATGGTAACTGAGACACTGAAAGACAAATCTTCATATTCTTTCTCATCTGAGTCTCTTAACTCTAAATTATCAGATGTTAATACATATTCTTGAGTAACTGAAAAAACAAAACAGAAAGATAAAAGGGACCTTTGAGAGTCTGAGGGAGTAGGGACCAATAGAGAGGGAAATAGTAGAGTACAAGTGATCTTTTGATGAAACAGGCTATAACTGCAGAGGTGTAGAAGGTAAATACAGAAGAAAGATAGGAATGTAAGGTAACAGGAAGGATTCTGAAAATATCATAAGAAATCATATTTTTAACCTTTTACCTAAAAATACATATAAAATATGTAAACCTGTGTATAAATAAACACATTTTTAAAAAGGAATTTTTTCATCTGGCTGAAAATGGGAGCATTTTGGCAATAGCCAAAGACCATCTAACAAAAACTATAACATCAAGCACAAGACGCAATCATTTGACTGATCAGGGTTGTCCAAGAGACACCCCAAACATTAAAGCCTACTACTATTGTCATTGTTTTCCCCTAGAAGTGAAAGTCTCTATTGTTGAAAGGTCCCTGAGCTGAAACTGACCCAAATGGCTTCTCACTGAGGACTAGGTTTCATGATACCAGAAGATTCAAAGCAAGCATCCAATAAAAGCAGGAAGCAACCAACAATCCTATATACCTATGATTTCTATGAATCACATCAAGTAACAGAATGGCAAAAATAAACAAAACAAAACAAAGAAACAAACCAACAAAGAAACTAAAAATCCCTAAGGGTGCATAAGTGGCACACATATCTTCACAGCAAGCAACAACTCTTGAACTGTGTTGCTGGAGAGCTTCTCTCCAGGTTCCATTAAGCCCCGCAGTCCCACAATCCACATATAAAATAATCACTCAGACATTTATATTACTTATAAACTGTATGACCATGGCAGGCTTCTTGCTAACTGTTCTTATATCTTAAATTAACCCATTCCTACAAATCTATACCTAGCCACATGGCTGTTGGCTTACCAGCGCCTTCACATGTTGCTTCTCCTGGCAGTGGCTGCAGGGTCTCTCCCTCCTTCTTCCTGTTTCCCCAATTCTCTCTCTTTGTCCTGCCTATACTTCCTGCCTGGTCACTGGCCATCAGTATTTTATTTATATAGAGTGATATCCACAGCAGAACTGGATTTAAAATGGTTCAGCAATGAAGAAACCGTGCCTGGGACTGGACACATAGATAGGTACTCAGGTCTAGTGAAGTAGTGGATTTTGGAGAAGAACCTACAACTGAAACTTGAATAAACCAACATAATTCCTAACATCATTCTTATTTTTCTTATACCATCAGATAAGTGTAGAACATAAAGACTTCTCTTTTCAACAGTTTTAGATCATTCAAAAAACAAAACAAAGTAATACAAAACAAGCAAACAAAAAACCCTAAAACCCACAATCAAAATATATAGATGTGAAGAACCCCTCCTCTGGGCTTCATATCTCAGATCATACCTCTGGATGCTTTACCAGGGGCCAGGGTGGTCCTATGGGCCCAAAATAACACATCTCCCACTGCCTCCAACACCACTTAAAGCCAGCCCAACAACACCAGACTACACCCCTTTCCCTGTACTCTATATTGCGACAAACAATTCCAGCAGAAAAACCTAATTTACTGGAGGCCAGGCCAGATCTAGAGAGAAAGAAACCCCTCCACTTGTCTCTGTATCCTATATCACATCTCCAGCAGCTGCTTTATCACAGGCCAGGCTAGTCCTAGGAACACATGGTAAGATACTACCCATTGCCTGTTAACACTTCTTAAAGGCCACCCAACAGCCCCAAACTGTCCCC